TCTTCATTGTGTCACTCTAAGTCAGTGTTCTTCATTGCGTCACTCTAAGTCAGTGTTCTTTATTGTGTCACTCTAAGTCAGTGTTCTTCATTGTGTCACTCTAAGTCAGTGTTCTTCATTGTGTCACTCTAAGTCAGTGTTCTTCATTGTGTCACTCTAAGTCAGTGTTCTTCAATGTGTCACTCTAAGTCAGTGTTCTTCATTGTGTCACTAAGTCAGTGTTCTTCATTGTGTCACTAAGTTAGTGTTCTTCATTGTGTCACTCTAAGTCAGTGTTCTTCATTGTGTCACTAAGTCAGTGTTCTTCATTGTGTCACTAAGTCAGTGTTCTTCATTGTGTCACTCTAAGTCAGTGTTCTTCATTGTGTCACTCTAAGTCGGTGTTCTTCATTGTGTCACTAAGTCAGTGTTCTTCATTGTGTCACTAAGTCAGTGTTCTTCATTGTGTCACTCTAAGTCAGTGTTCTTCATTGTGTCACTCTAAGTCAGTGTTCTTCATTGTGTCACTCTAAGTCAGTGTTCTTCATTGTGTCACTAAGTCAGTGTTCTTCATTGTGTCACTCTAAGTCGGTGTTCTTCATTGTGTCACTAAGTCAGTGTTCTTCATTGTGTCACTCTAAGTCAGTGTTCTTTATTGTGTCACTAAGTCAGTGTTCTTCATTGTGTCACTCTAAGTCGGTGTTCTTCATTGTGTCACTAAGTCAGTGTTCTTCATTGTGTCACTAAGTCAGTGTTCTTCATTGTGTCACTCTAAGTCAGTGTTCTTCATTGTGTCACTCTAAGTCAGTGTTCTTCATTGCGTCACTCTAAGTCAGTGTTCTTTATTGTGTCACTCTAAGTCAGTGTTCTTCATTGTGTTACTCTAAGTCAGTGTTCTTCATTGTGTCACTCTAAGTCAGTGTTCTTCATTGTGTCACTAAGTCAGTGTTCTTCAATGTGTCACTCTAAGTCAGTGTTCTTCATTGTGTCACTAAGTCAGTGTTCTTCATTGTGTCACTCTAAGTCAGTGTTCTTCATTGTGTCACTAAGTCAGTGTTCTTCATTGTGTCACTAAGTCAGTGTTCTTCATTGTGTCACTCTAAGTCAGTGTTCTTCATTGCGTCACTCTAAGTCAGTGTTCTTCATTGTGTCACTCTAAGTCAGTGTTCTTCATTGTGTCACTAAGTCAGTGTTCTTCATTGTGTCACTCTAAGTCAGTGTTCTTCATTGTGTCACTCTAAGTCAGTGTTCTTCATTGCGTCACTCTAAGTCAGTGTTCTTTATTGTGTCACTCTAAGTCAGTGTTCTTCATTGTGTCACTCTAAGTCAGTGTTCTTCATTGTGTCACTCTAAGTCAGTGTTCTTCATTGCGTCACTCTAAGTCAGTGTTCTTCATTGTGTCACTCTAAGTCAGTGTTCTTCATTGTGTCACTCTAAATCAGTGTTCTTCATTGTGTCACTCTAAGTCAGTGTTCTTCATTGTGTCACTAAGTCAGTGTTCTTCATTGTGTCACTCTAAGTCAGTGTTCTTCATTGTGTCACTCTAAGTCAGTGTTCTTCATTGTGTCACTAAGTCAGTGTTCTTCATTGTGTCACTCTAAGTCAGTGTTCTTCATTGTGTCACTAAGTCAGTGTTCTTCATTGTGTCACTCTAAGTCAGTGTTCTTTATTGTGTCACTAAGTCAGTGTTCTTCATTGTGTCACTCTAAGTCAGTGTTCTTCATTGTGTCACTCTAAGTCAGTGTTCTTCATTGTGTCACTCTAAGTCAGTGTTCTTCATTGTGTCACTAAGTCAGTGTTCTTCATTGTGTCACTCTAAGTCGGTGTTCTTCATTGTGTCACTAAGTCAGTGTTCTTCATTGTGTCACTCTAAGTCAGTGTTCTTTATTGTGTCACTAAGTCAGTGTTCTTCATTGTGTCACTCTAAGTCGGTGTTCTTCATTGTGTCACTAAGTCAGTGTTCTTTATTGTGTCACTCTAAGTCAGTGTTCTTCATTGTGTCACTCTAAGTCAGTGTTCTTCATTGTGTCACTCTAAGTCAGTGTTCTTCATTGCGTCACTCTAAGTCAGTGTTCTTCATTGTGTCACTCTAAGTCAGTGTTCTTCATTGTGTCACTCTAAATCAGTGTTCTTCATTGTGTCACTCTAAGTCAGTGTTCTTCATTGTGTCACTAAGTCAGTGTTCTTCATTGTGTCACTCTAAGTCAGTGTTCTTCATTGTGTCACTCTAAGTCAGTGTTCTTCATTGTGTCACTAAGTCAGTGTTCTTCATTGTGTCACTCTAAGTCAGTGTTCTTCATTGTGTCACTAAGTCAGTGTTCTTCATTGTGTCACTCTAAGTCAGTGTTCTTTATTGTGTCACTAAGTCAGTGTTCTTCATTGTGTCACTCTAAGTCAGTGTTCTTCATTGTGTCACTCTAAGTCAGTGTTCTTCATTGTGTCACTCTAAGTCAGTGTTCTTCATTGTGTCACTAAGTCAGTGTTCTTCATTGTGTCACTCTAAGTCGGTGTTCTTCATTGTGTCACTAAGTCAGTGTTCTTCATTGTGTCACTCTAAGTCAGTGTTCTTTATTGTGTCACTAAGTCAGTGTTCTTCATTGTGTCACTCTAAGTCGGTGTTCTTCATTGTGTCACTAAGTCAGTGTTCTTCATTGTGTCACTAAGTCAGTGTTCTTCATTGTGTCACTCTAAGTCAGTGTTCTTCATTGTGTCACTCTAAGTCAGTGTTCTTCATTGCGTCACTCTAAGTCAGTGTTCTTTATTGTGTCACTCTAAGTCAGTGTTCTTCATTGTGTCACTCTAAGTCAGTGTTCTTCATTGTGTCACTCTAAGTCAGTGTTCTTCATTGTGTCACTAAGTCAGTGTTCTTCAATGTGTCACTCTAAGTCAGTGTTCTTCATTGTGTCACTAAGTCAGTGTTCTTCATTGTGTCACTCTAAGTCAGTGTTCTTCATTGTGTCACTAAGTCAGTGTTCTTCATTGTGTCACTAAGTCAGTGTTCTTCATTGTGTCACTCTAAGTCAGTGTTCTTCATTGCGTCACTCTAAGTCAGTGTTCTTCATTGTGTCACTCTAAGTCAGTGTTCTTCATTGTGTCACTAAGTCAGTGTTCTTCATTGTGTCACTCTAAGTCAGTGTTCTTCATTGTGTCACTCTAAGTCAGTGTTCTTAATTGCGTCACTCTAAGTCAGTGTTCTTTATTGTGTCACTCTAAGTCAGTGTTCTTCATTGTGTCACTCTAAGTCAGTGTTCTTCATTGTGTCACTCTAAGTCAGTGTTCTTCATTGCGTCACTCTAAGTCAGTGTTCTTCATTGTGTCACTCTAAGTCAGTGTTCTTCATTGTGTCACTCTAAATCAGTGTTCTTCATTGTGTCACTCTAAGTCAGTGTTCTTCATTGTGTCACTAAGTCAGTGTTCTTCATTGTGTCACTCTAAGTCAGTGTTCTTCATTGTGTCACTAAGTCAGTGTTCTTCATTGTGTCACTCTAAGTCAGTGTTCTTCATTGTGTCACTAAGTCAGTGTTCTTCATTGTGTCACTCTAAGTCAGTGTTCTTTATTGTGTCACTAAGTCACTGTTCTTCATTGTGTCACTCTAAGTCAGTGTTCTTTATTGTGTCACTAAGTCAGTGTTCTTCATTGTGTCACTCTAAGTCAGTGTTCTTCATTGTGTCACTAAGTCAGTGTTCTTCATTGTGTCACTACGTCAGTGTTCTTCATTGCGTCACTCTAAGTCAGTGTTCTTCATTGCGTCACTCTAAGTCAGTGTTCTTTATTGTGTCACTCTAAGTCAGTGTTCTTCATTGTGTCACTAAGTCAGTGTTCTTCATTGTGTCACTCTAAGTCAGTGTTCTTCATTGTGTCACTAAGTCAGTGTTCTTCATTGTGTCACTCTAAGTCAGTGTTCTTCATTGTGCCACTCTAAATCAGGGTTCTTCATTGTGTCACTAAGTCAGTGTTCTTCATTGTGTCACTAAGTCAGTGTTCTTCATTGTGTCACTAAGTCAGTGTTCTTCATTGTGTCACTAAGTCAGTGTTCTTCATTGTGTCACTCTAAGTCAGCGTTCTTCATTGTGTCACTCTAAGTCAGTGTTCTTCATTGTGTCACTAAGTCAGTGTTCTTCATTGTGTCACTCTTAGTCAGTGTTTTTTATTGTGTCACTAAGTCAGTGTTCTTCATTGTGTCACTAAGTCAGTGTTCTTCATTGTGTCACTCTAAATCAGCGTTCTTCATTGTGTCACTCTAAGTCAGCGTTCTTCATTGTGTCACTAAGTCAGTGTTCTTCATTGTGTCACTCTAAGTCAGTGTTCTTCATTGCGTCACTAAGTCAGTGTTCTTCATTGTGTCACTCTAAGTCAGTGTTCTTCATTGTGTCACTAAGTCAGTGTTCTTCATTGTGTCACTCTAAGTCAGTGTTCTTCATTGTGTCACTAAGTCAGTGTTCTTCATTGTGTCACTCTAAGTCAGTGTTCTTCATTGTGTCACTAAGTCAGCGTTCTTCATTGTGTCACTCTAAGTCAGCGTTCTTACTTGCGTCACCCAGGGGTTGACTGAGTTCGTCAACTCAAACCAAGTGTCACGTTGTACTCCCTCAGCGACTGTTAATGCTGCCCTGACAGAATGCAGATGTTGAGCTTGCCAAGGTGGCGTCTTGCTCGAACGAGGTCTAACACCCAAACATTATTGTTGCCCGCGGTCAATTTGATCGCTTAATTTGTATTCCCACAGCGCCAATCCACGTTGCTTTGCGATCTCCGTCGATGAGTTTGCGTGCGGTCACCGTTAAAATCTTTCGGAGCCTCTCCGTTGTTCGCGGCCGAGAACTTTAGCGGAAACCTTTTCCGCGTATTTTTTTTTCTGTTTCCCCGTTCGCTTCTTGTGTTTGCGCCGCTAACGCCAATGCTTTTGTTTTCATTTCTGTTTTGAAAAAAAAAAATCCCACCAAAACCAACTCCCCCGCCCCCCCTCCCTCTCCCCGTCTCGTTGCACCACACACACCACCCTTGTCGGGATGCCATGCAGGGAAGGGAGGTACGTACGGTCGCTTTTTACCTCACTTTTTACAGCTCCCCCCCCCCCCCCCCCCACTTATGAACAAACTCTGCATGTTCCGATCAACATGTTCCGATCAACATGTTCCCACCATACCTGACGCTCAGGTTACCCCCCCCCCCTCGCCCCTCTTGCCTGACCCCCACTTTTTTGATGAACCATTTTTTCCCCGACCACCGATGAAGTTCCTTGGATCGTGGTTTCCAAATGAATGCTGGGTAACTCCTCCAAAAAGAAACCTCTTAAACAACAGAAACTGCCTCGATGATCTCTGACGCTGGTGGTGTTGTTTTGTTTGTACCAGAGTACCTCGCTTATTTAAATGCAGCAGCGCAGGATTGAATAAATCAAAAACTTTGATTAATTTTTCTACAAATATGTCAGATCGCAACTGAAGGCTAGCCCTGGGATTTTCAGCTTTGAAGATGTTTTGGCCAGCCAGCGTAGTCTTGAGGTACGCAGCCTAATTGTAAACATTTACCTGTTAAAATACACCGTGAGATCAAGATAAACTTATCACCAAAAAGAATAAACCATTGATTTATTTTAGTATGTATGAGTCTATATTGGTTGTTAGCAGGAGCCAATAATGTCACCTTTTATTAATGAAACTTTAATGTTATATTTTAATTTACCACACATACTTTCTCTTTGAAAAAAATTATAACTTCCCAAATGTTCAACTCATGAACTGCAAATGAACTGAAGAATAGTGATTTTGCCAACGTGACAGAGCGGCAATCTGCACTGACGTGTTACGTTAAAGTCCGACAGCTCGTGTCATTATCCCGCGTCACGAGCATTGTAACGGCACACTACGCTACAACAACAATCCCGCTTTCTCATGAAGGGTGCACGAACGTCGAAGGTAATCGAATACGCAACAAATTACTGCCAAAGTTACACATCAACTCAGCCGTAAATTACCAACTTTGAACGTTAACTGTTCTGTTCTGAGCTCTCAGATCGTCCATCAGATAAGAGACCATCTCAACAGGCTCTCAGAATTTTACTCAACGCCAGCGATGTAAGCGTCGTTATAGCGGCGGAATAAACAGAACCACGGTGGAAATGAGTTTGGCCTCATCGTCGCTGATCGGCTGATGGAAGGGACAGATGACGATGTGTACGTACGTTGAACTTCTTTCGCACCATACTTAGCCAACCGTGATAAATCGGAGGTGGTCGGCAAGTTTTTTTTTTGCAGGAGTTTCACAGCATCAGAAACCCACGCAAAGTGCACCACCAGTGGTTTTGAATCTCCCCCTTAGGCATTTCTCCGGGCTTTGTTTGAGCGCACCTTGGCTGAAGTGACGCGAGACATCCCGTCTCCCACACACGGTCCGCCTCGGGGCGGTGGTCACACACTGGCTAGCCGTGATGTGCTCTCACTGCATAGGGCTTTCCTGCAAGGGGGCAAATGGAATTACATGTGTCCTAATAATAATTATGTGTAAGGGGGAGGGGGATCCTTGAAAATAATGAACTCTGCGTGGGTACTTAGTCTATCAGTCGATCGAGTCTTTATTTCTATAGCACTATTTCGTGCAAAGGATGCCATTCAAAGTGCTGTACAGATTTTTTTTAAAAACATTGTTAATAGACTCATTCACAAGAAGGATTAAAGCAAATTCCATACAAAACAAAATTGCATTATAATAAATTACTATCGAAGGCATATTCTCGGTTCTTTCGGTAAAGTCACCACCACGTAGAAGGGAAACAATAAAATAATAAAAATATAAAACAATACAATTCTCACGACGTTTCGACTGCAACACAAGCAATCATCATCAGGTGTGAAAACCACAGCAAGATGATGATTGCTTGTGTTGCAGTCGAAACGTCGTGAGAATTGCATTGTTTTATATTTTTATTATTTTATTGTTTCCCTTCTACGTGGTGACTTTACCGAAAGAACCAGGAATATGAATCCCTGCAGTCACGAAAGCTTTAAATCAAAATATCGAAGGCCTATTTAAAAAAATAAGACTATAAAATAATCTTAAGTTAGAGCAAGTTTAAAAATGTGAGTTTTTAGATTTAACTTAACACTGCTTAATGATTGCGTTATTAGATGCTAGGGCTGTTGCCGATGTGCAGAGCGCAAGGCGAGTTAGTTGCCTTGTAAGTTTTAAGGCGACTGCGAGCCAGTCGTCACGTGCCTCCCCAGCCATTACCTCTAAATCACATCCCGATCGAAAAGGGTTTCCTTGGCGTTTCCTCTGAGTGCGTACCGGGTGACTGCACAGTTCATTCACATGCAGATGATTCAATCGTGCCAACATAAAGCAGTCTTGTTATCGACAGAAGAGCAGAATAATTATTTGAAATGTAGCATAACTCCGAGAGAAATTACTCGATGAAAGGGAATTCATTTCAGAATGCCTCAGGGGGCAGTTTCAATCGGCAAAGAAGTAATTGTAAGTCACATAAATAATGTTTACTTATCTTGCCTTCGGTCACTTATCCCCGCACGTTATGGCGAATTCTGTCTGCCTCGTTTCCACTCGGGTCATGGGATTCATGCACGTGAATTCATTCATTCATTCGCACGGGACACATTCACATTCAGCCGCAGGTGTTATTTTGACCACGAGCCGACATTGTGTCATCTGCGCGCACATCTTGTGCAGACCGGCTATGTCACGCGGGCCGCTCAATCCCGCGTCGTATCCCCTCTCGTCGTGGCGATGGTCACACAATCAGCGCGGCTGTCAACCCGCGCCGTTGCTGACGCCGTCGCTGACGGGATGTGAGACGTGGCCGGTGCCTGCCTGCAACTTGCAACGCGAAACTCCGAGCCGTCTCCCTCCGGCCGCTACCGCCGCGTGATGTTCCGCACGATGCCCGACGTTTCGCTGCACGTTGTTGCCAGCTTCTCCGGGGACTGAATGGAGCAGCTCTCCTGTTCGACCCTCGACGGTGTAAACTAAACTATTTAAACTATTTTTTTTATTTTACCAGGTAACGCCCACTGAGCTGTATAGCTCTTTCTCAGCTCTTTTTCAGAAGCGACCTGGCTACCACAAATGAGAGCTCAATGAGATGGCTAATCACGTGGCCATTTATAACAGCCAAACGCTCTAAACGCGTGGTGGTGATGTTGATTCTAAATGTGGAGGGAAAAACCGGAGGATCTGGAGAAAAATCCACGTGACCACGGGGAGAGAGACACGCAAATTCCAACTATACAGCAGGCGTCAGGGTCGGGATCAAACCCACGACTTCCTGCACATCAGGCGAGGTAGTTAACATCTCGCCACCGAGGCTGATGTATAAACATCGCAGACTGTGGAACGACACGCAGCGCAACGCGAAAACATACCCGGTTAGAGTTAACCGTCCCGTGATCGGCCCCATGTTAGGCATAGATCGTGGCCATCGCTCTGGACAAGTGCTGCAGCACAATGGGACACTCGATGTCTTATTTGGGGGCGATGGTCTTGGAGTGGAGGGGAAAAAACCTTATCATTAGCATCAGCGTGCCAAAAGTTAGTTTACTGACATACACACACCTTATTATCTTCTCAGTAAACTTCACTTTCGGGGCCACCTTGCATCATCCACATTTGCAACATTTATTTTGTCACGAAGATAGTGGCTAATTTGCTATTCAGTTATTCTCATCCGCTTGTTGGAACAACGTACACACAAGTCATCGGCTCTTTTGCAGTGTGAATATATAACATACTTTTAATTATATATCAGATCATTACAATAAAGTAAAGGTGGATTCTGGAGGAGGGATATCTTTGAAACCAGTAACAACCGGTCCCAGATGGAAAGGAGGCTTTGGCGGACACCTCGACGAAGCAAAGCAAAACTTGTGGCCTAACTCGCGGCCAGAGCGAGGGATGTGTATGATGCATGTATGTTGGACTTATTTTGCACCGTACGTAGCCAACCGCGCTAATTGGAGGTGCGGGGAAAGGTCAACCAACAAAACACAAAAAGCAGTTCTAAAGAAATTAGTTTTCAATCGAGATTTAAAAGTACATAGCTCCAGTGGCTTCCTAATAAACCATCAAGCAGGGTTAGCACAGTGCATGTGAACACGCCTTGACCGAGATACCATTCGCATGGAAACACCACACACACACCATCAACCCACACACACCATCAACACACACACACCATCAACACACCATCAACACACACACACACACCATCAACACACCATCAACAGCAAGGCTCAGCCCTTACCCAGGACTGAAGAACTCCCGAATGCGCGTCACCGCGAGCACGGTGAATGCCTCCCCCCCCCGCCCCGTTGCAAATGCATGCGGCACGTGAATGCGGCACGTGAATGCGGCTTCGCTGCCCGTCGTCGGTGCGCTACGGGGCCATCCACTGAGTCGGCACGCAGAAACCTGTCACGACTTCACCGCTCCCCCCCTGCCTGTACGCACGAGGACTTTGTGCACCCCCCCCCCCCCCCCCCCCCACTTACCCTGAATCCTATAGAACGGCCGATATTCAATCCACGCAGACACGATCAAGGATGAATAATAGTAACGTGTTGAAGCAAACAGAGAATCCGCCGCCGGACTATCTAACTCAGTTGAAGGCCAATGTAGACAAATTATTGTCGAGGCTTCACCCCCCCCCCCCCCCTGTTTCCTATGCGTCCGTACATTATCAGTAGACCCCCCCCCCCCCCATACGCAAGCGGTACGCGTTTGGGTCAACCCCCTCCATGCGTACGTACTGAATGGATAGCCACTACCTGCGTGGTGGTTGCACTGGGCTATCGGAGGAACGGGCGAAGTTTGCCCAAGCGGTCCGGTCCTGGAGCTGGGAGGTCAAACGCTCGGCTCAAAGTGAATGATTGTGTCGACAAACAACTTAGGCCGCCAAATGGTTTCAATGACCACATCACCGCCAGGAATGCGTCCGACCTCGCCGGTCCTCGGTAGTTAACGAGGTTGGCCCGGTCACGAATCGCATGAGAGCCTCATCGCTCTCGGCGTGAACTGGCGAAGCGGCAAGCGGGTGACGTTACGGCAGTGGATTCTTAAATCTATTTGTGCAGAGCTTTGCATCTTACCCCCCTCGTAGGGGTGGGTTATCTCCAAGTACTGTACTTTGGTTTCCTGCAAAAAGCCAAGGGCTCTTGAGCTGCATTGGCCATGTATTCCAAAGCAGGACCCTCCTGAAATGAAATGATGTGACGCTGCGAAGCGTTCCTGGCTTAAGGCTATTCTTCTTGTTGTAATTATAATGAGTATCAGCATCGTGAGGCCGAATTTACAGGGCCAAGTCCCAGTTGCTCCCAGTAGCCCAGTTCAACCTGTGTGTGTCCATGGGATGCACAAATAAACAGAAAAATAACAATGGGTTTGAAGGTGAAGTGAAAGTGTTGGTTAAAATGTGTGCATTGAATGTATGTTAACAAATTAACCTTGTAAGTTATGGTAATACATCTTTGGATTTTATTAACATAGCTTATCATTCACCAAAATAATGCTTATACAGCTCTACATTTTTCTACGGAAGTGTCAAATAAACATTCCAAAATATTTGATGTGATTGATCGCACTTAAACGCAGTTTGTTGCGATGGGTACTGTACCCTTATTTTAAACACCTCCCGTTCGCCCAACAGCGTCACAACTGTTTAATGAGTGCCCGTTAATATTCCTGCTGCTAGAGTTACGCTTGCCTGTGGCCTCTAACTGGAGCCTATAACACACTTCCCCTTACCACCAGTGGCCTTTCCGTCTGGCAGATTATTTCAGATGTGCCTGATACAAAAACGGCCATCAATGTCTTTTTTTTAATTGAAAGTGCATTGTGATATTTTTTTAAGTGGGTGGAGTGGTGGCGCAGTGGATAGCGCACTGTGCGATGAACCTAACGACTCGAGTTTGGTTTCCCGGCAAACGAATAACATCAGTGGCGAGTCGTGCCTTAACTAGCTCTGGTTCACATACTGCACTGACCATCATGGGGAAGTATGGTCATACAACCCCCTACAGCTGGCATGGCATGGACAGGCTTCATACACCAGTGGATTGACAAAAGACCGTAATTTATGAACTCATTTATGAGTTCCTAATATATCACATCCAGAGAGGGCTTTAATCTCATTTAAATAACAGTATATGTGTTAATACAAACACTTGACGTTTTTTTTATGATCGTATTTATGTTTCCCATTGTATCTGACACGTAATGCTCCAGCTTAAATTGTTTTGTCAACCACATAATTGTTTCAAACATTGACCTCCTGGAATTCTATTTGCACTTTGTGGTTCCAGCTGCAGTCATTAAGGTATACGTTTGCACTTAGTGACAGACGTCGCTTTACAAGCACATGGGACATCTCTAGCTTTGTGCGACGAGGCAGAATAACCAACGGAGGAGGCGGTTGTTGTTGTTGTAATTCACACTTGATGGGCACTCGTCAGTTTGAAAATATAATCACGGAGGGAGGTGGGGGGGTGGTGCAGGATTTCGCTGGATCCAACTGTGATTCATTAAAAACCTGTCCAATTTTTTACAATTAATTTATTTGTCGGTGTACTCGTCAAATGATTTATTTCTACAAATTATTAGGGGTTTTTTTTCCAAACTAGGGATTTTCTCATTGGGCTCCACTTGTAGTATTTCCTGATTTAATTCCCTACCCAGTGTATTTTTTTCGTTTATTTTAGGAGTATTACCATCTTGCAAAGGATTAAATGTTCAAACAACCCGTGAGTTAGAATGTCAAGCACACACGTCAGCCCTGTATGTGCATGTCCCATTGCATGCCCAGCCTTCTCAGGGCTACAACAACATCTCTCTCCACAGGGCAATGCTGTGGAGAGCTTTACGAGCGACACATTGATGGGTCTTACAAGTTAACCTGATTTCAATAAGAATGTTGTTTTCGTTTCATTTATTGGAACATCCCTTTTAAATAATGTCTCAATGTGGGTCCCCATGAACCTCGCTGGAGAATCGACATGGTCACCACTGGTGTTTCCCTTGACAGTGTTACTTAAATACATCTCCAAGTTAATTCAACACCAGGTCAAATGGGAGATTTGAATGAAGTTAAATTTCTCCGTTGTCTTATAAAGCGGTCACATGTATACACTATGAATTGTTTTCCATTCAAAGTACTTTTGTATTCCTTCAATTCAATCCGGGCGATGCATTTCAACCTAATGCTGTCCGTGGAAATAGTGAAGAGGGGTACCCCGGTTAAGCTGTGAGACACGAGGGCTAATTTTGTGGATAGTCACTTGCAGTCGTCACCAGCGGCACGTCGTGATGGAGTTGCGTGCGGCCGATGGAAAGTATATTGTGGTGAGCAATGATTGCCGTACAGATCGCACGACCTCGGGTAGTCACTTGACCTCAGTGTGTGACATTATTGAAAGTTGCCAACCCAGTCACCCGCTAGCTCAAGCGGCAGAGAGATTTGTCCACGTTCCGTGCCAGCGCAACGGGTAACGCTGCGACGATCGCCGGCAGCGATTGCCCCAAAACGTCGCCCGAGTCTCCCACGGCGTTTGGACACTCGATCCGCCGACGGGCGCTTCCCGTGCGCTCCTCGTGTCTCCTTGAACCAAGGAGAGCGGTCACGTACCGAAATCCGTAGAGAAGGAATGCAGTGACCCCCCCCTCCCCCCGTCCTTCCGCCAGGCGTTCGCGTGGTGGTCCGACCTGATGGTGGAGCACGCCGAGACGTTCTTATCCCTGTACGCCGTGGACATGGACGCGGCGCTCGAGGTGCAGCCCCCAGACACGTGGGACAGCTTCCCCCTCTTCCAGCTGCTCAATGACTACTTGCGCAATGAAGGTGAGACGCAACAACGGCTACCTGTCCAGCACAGGTGAGACGCAACAACGACTACCTGCCCAGCACAGGTGAGACGCAACAACAACGACCTGTCCAGCACAGGTGAGACACAACAACGGCTACCTGCCCAGCACAGGTGAGACGCAACAACGACCTGTCCAGCACAGGTGAGACACAACAACGACCCGCCCAGCACAGGTGAGACGCAACAACGGCTACCTGCCCAGCACAGGTGAGACGCAACAACGGCTACCTGCCCAGCACAGGTGAGACGCAAGAACGACCTGTCCAGCACAGGTGAGACACAACAACGGCTACCTGCCCAGCACAGGTGAGACGCAAGAACGACCTGTCCAGCACAGGTGAGACACAACAACGGCTACCTGCCCAGCACAGGTGAGATGCAACAACGACCCGTCCAGCACAGGTGAGACACAACAACGACCCGCCCAGCACAGGTGAGACACAACAACGGCTACCTGCCCAGCACAGGTGAGACGCAACAACGGCTACCTGCCCAGCACAGGTGAGACGCAACAACGGCTACCTGCCCAGCACAGGTGAGACGCCGGTTGAGACCGACCACGCCAGCAGCGCCGCCGCCATCATCGTCGTCTGTACCACGAGCAGTCCACCTTTACGGGATGAAGGCCGCCCTAAACCCCACTGCCATCTCTCGTGGTCAAGCGTTGAATTGCGGGCGTACAAATTGATTGTTTGCAATTAGTGTAAGTTGTGAATTGAAAAAGTTAGAACCTTGGATGGGGTCACTCATGTTCTCGAGAAGGTCAGGTAGCATGGACTTGGATGGGTTTGGGCGCTTGTTGAGGAGAGACAAAGAAGATGCACTTCGAAGGGCCGTGGAGATGCCAGCGGTGCAGGATGGGGAGAGCGGCGGTGTCCGCAGCACGCGCAGAGAGACAATCCCAGCAGCTGGGCCTCATGGCAATAATGGAGCTGTTGCCTTAAAATGAGAGGACAGACATGAACGCAACCTCACTGATTTCAGCAAACTGTAAGTCGTTTTGTTTGTAAACAAGTCTAAAACAAAGAAACTGGTAAAACCATCCAAATTATTGTGTTCGGAAGTTTGGAGACTCGGGTTTTCATAGTTAAAATCAAAACGAATTAAAACGAGATATTTTTTTTGGGTAGGGAATTAAATTCATATTTAAATCTCCGCACCAGCTGTGGTTAGGTCACCAAAAATGTGAAAACTTAATCGTCACGCACTCAAATTTTCAATTCACCATCGATGGCACATTTAATTTAACGTGTGCTTCCCTTTGATACGTCAACCGATCTGTTGCATTTCATTTTCACAGATTAAAAAAACTCAATCCCGTTGCGAGAAAGTTTTTATTCCCCAATTAACCACTGCGAATACATTTGAAATGTCAAATTTGAACAACGGCGCCGACAAGCAATTGTCCACACACGTGAGCAATGTCGCAGCCTCGCCGAGGCCCTCGTCGCACCCGTAGACGGTGCTTCAGTCCGTCTCGCTCGTCCTGCGAGTGAGCTCACCTTGTCGCTCCACCCTCGTGGCGCTCGTCCGCTCGCTTGTGCTCCCTGCTTTGGCTGCCGTTCTGTGACCAGTCTCGCCCATGGGCCACCATTCCTTCGAGCAACGCGTCCTGCACCCGAGCACCCCCGCGCTCTCCTTAATCGTCGAGTGATGCCCGCAGTTTGCGTTTGTTCTCCCCGATTCGTGCGTTCCTCTTTGCCGTCTTTTGGAGTAATTCCCAGCATGCATCTCTCCGTTCAGCGGCGGGGGACGCACTTTCTACGCTCTCCGTTGAGCGTGCCCTGTCGCGGCGCTCGCAACCCACGACATCCGGCAGACATTCAAACCTCGCTCACGGTTCAAATTGGCACAACGTCCTCGTCTTCCACAAACCGGAGTCTAAAATTAGCGTCGGTGCCCAGTTCTGCCGCGGTTTTGTAATGCTCGCATTACCGGCGCTAATTTGTTCGTAATCACAATTTAGCATTTTGATATCTCGTCGCTCGCCTCCCGTTCACAAACAACACCCCGAGCGCACGTCACCTGGGCGGTAACGAAGCCAGTGGCGTGCGCGGCGCTGATTGAGTTGGGAAACGATCACGTTTGCATACCGCGGCAGTAATTAGCGCCGCCATTGGGCAAAGAAGAGAGATTGATAAATTACTGCAGATTAGTAAGTTTGCTTTGCCTTAATTTCTTGTTTCATGTCAACACACCGGTAAGAATGCTAAACGGAAATTATATGAAGGATCGCAAAATTTACCTTAATGGGGGCTATCAGACGCTTGTGTGTGCAGTAATAGGCATGTCGAGTGGATAAGTAATTGCTTTTCTTTATTCCCTGTAATGATCTACATTATATAATGTGTCTGGCGACGTGGAACAAATCGGTTGCTATGACATATGCGCTCTGGCCATCCACACGTTGGTAATTGACTGCGCGCAGTGTGATGCCTTCTTCTCCTCTGGGTGCACTTTGCACTGCGTGCATTCCGATTTCTGCGTTCCCGTGCCGTCCGCTGTTGGTGTGCTCTCTCTCTCGCCCTCTCGCTCGCTCTCTCGCTCGCTCTCTCGCTCGCTCTCTCTCTTGCTCTCTCTCTCGCCCTCTCGCTCGCTCTCTCGCTCGCCCTCTCGCTCGCTCTCTCTCTCGCTCTCTCTCGCCAAACGCACCGCGCGCGCGTTCCGCCGACTCTGATTTCCGGCCTCCGTTTGCCCCGTCGCTGGACGATGCGGTGTCACAGCGCTGCTGTCAATCGGTGTAATTGGATCGCAGCGCGTTCGCACGGCACGGACGCCGCCTCCGCGTCGTTCGGTGCGGCCGCGGTGAGAGAGAAACCGCGATAGTAATTCACGAGCGGCGTGTCGCAAAATGCTGTTTTTAGGGACCTCTTCCGCTGTCAAAATGCCACCACTTGGCTTTGACTACCAAATGAAACTTGAGCGCGCTTCTTTGAGACATGAGTGTTTCTCAGGCCAGGGCTAATGCTGTAAACTGGCCCGTTCCTTCTTCAGACCGCGCACCTCTTCATCTGTTTCATAATCTTCCTGTGCTTCTCTCCAGCCGACCCTACGACTGTTCCTCCTCCTCCTCCCTCCTGGTGCCATCCCTCCTCCACAATCAGTCTTCACCCTTCTTGCCTTCCCTTCCCATGGACCTCTTAATATAATATAATGTACAGTCCCTTTATCTATCCACTGTTGGATGAAGGTCTCTTGATGGGGGTTGTTTTACCACACTTCAAAATTGTTCTGCACGTAAACACGTATTTCCCAAACAAGGTGTAGTAATTGTCACGCAAAACGCACATTTGCCGGTCAACTGGTTAATTTGTTTTTGAAAAGTTAAAAGTTGAAATGTGAAATGGAGGTAATAGAAGGAGGTGAAGGTGCAGCCCTGCAATGTGCTGCTCACGCCACTGCTGGCAGAAGGGCCACCGCTAGCCGGAGCCCCAGAGGTGATTTGGCCTACTCTTCCACACTGGCCGGATGTCTCGGTCGAGGCGGGAGTTCTCGCGACGAACAATAAAGCGCGACAAGTAAATGCAGGTTACACCTCACCGTGCGGTGCCCTCTTTCTGCGCAGGAAACCTGTGCAATGGCAAGTACCACAAGCACCTGCAGGATGTGTTTGCTCCCCTCGTGGTGCGCTACGTCGACCTGATGGAGTCGTCGATAGCGCAGTCCATCCACAAGGGCTTTGAGCGCGAATCCTGGGAGCCCGTCAAGTAAGGCAGCGCGTCGACTCTCCCTTTCAATCAACCGCGTCGCACCCTGTGTACACCCTCCGTAAACCCTGTGTACACCCTGCATACACCCTGTGTACACCCTGCATACACCCTGTGTACACCCTGCATACACCCTGCGTACACCCTCCATACACCCTGTGTACACCCTGCATACACCCTGCTTACACCCTCCATACACTTTGTGTGCACCCTGCGTACACCTTACGTACACCCTGTGTACACCTTGCATACACCCTGCATACACCCTGTGTACACCCTCCGTAAACCCTGTGTACACCCTGCATACACCCTGCATACACCCTGCGTACACCCTCCATACACCCTGCGTACACCTTACGTACACCCTGTGTACACCGTGTGTGCACCCTGCGTACACCTTACATACACCCTGTGTACACCCTGCGTACACCCTCCATACACCCTGCATACACCCTGCGTACACCCTCCACACACCCTGTGTACACCCTGCGTACACTGTACGTACACTCTGCGTACACCCTCCGTAAACCCACCATCCACCTCTATCATCATCATCAGCAGCATTCCTCCCCGACAGCGTCATCACCACCACCAGCAGCAGCATCATCATCAGCATCAGTTTCATCATCGGGTGAGATCGTGGGCTCATTGTGGTGGAGTCTATTTGTGAAGCAATGCCATGTGTTTGTGAAAGTTTCTCGTGTTAAAGGGGTTTCTCTTTCACGGGGTATGTCTACCTTGTCTTGGTGATACTTGTGACGTTATTTTGCTGTAAATTAGACATCACGAATGGTAGGTTTAAATGCACCGGAATGTAAATATGACTATGGTGTTAACGTTGGTTATTTTAATCTACATTCATAAATAATAAACATGTCATGTATAATTATGCCTAACAATCACTGTCACATAAATTACCACCTTGAGATTGTTTCCAATACAACGCCGTGCACTGTTGAAAACTAAGCTATATTTTTCTTTTGCTCGGTAAACATATATGATCATCATCATCACTATCCTTTTTTACCCCCACCACTCCGTGACTATCCGTGTTGTCACTATCTGCAGCTCGATCCCTCCCGTGAGTTTCGGGGGGGCCACCGTTTTTGTTGTTGTTGCACCGGTGAATTAAACGATAATTCGCCTCGCGTTGGCTTCCCAACGCGAGCAGGTTAACGAGCGCTTAGCCCATTCTCCGTGGTAATCTCGCATTGTCCTTCTTTCTTGTCCAGTCTGCCTTTGCTATTGTTTCATGGAATTCACAGCAACTACCCCCTTGCAAAGCGAACATGGTTTTCATCATCATCATCAGTGTTATCATTGTGATTATTATCCCACGTCTTTGGCGTTCAACCGCAGTTCAAACAAAACCGCGTGCCCCATTTGCCGCGAATATTCCCAAGAGCGTCACGCGGCAGCAAAGTGCTAAATAAGGGCCCCTTTGCAGCGGCGTTTGTTCGTCCGCGCCGCGCGGTATTGCTGTGAATTCGTGCTAACTGCTGGTTACCTGCGCTGTCTGCACTTGCCCGCTTCACGACAACAAAGAAACAAAAACGACGAGACTCGTATTTTGCGTTAACGTCTTGCGTGCGTGTGTCCGTGCGTGCGCGTGTCTCCTCTCTCCGTCTCTCATCCCCGTGGTCGTGCAACTTGGAACGTGTGCCCCCCCCCCTCACCCCCCCCCCTCACCCCCCACCCCGTGTGCTTCTGTCTCTTTTTGTTCTTCTTCCGCAGGAATCTAACCAGTAACCTCCCAAACGTCAATCTGCCAAAAGTCCCAAATCTTCCCGTTAGCCTCCCACAAATCCCGCAAATGCCTCAAATGCCGCAGATCCCTAGCTTTTCAACACCGTCGTGGATGACGGCTCTGTATGACCCAGAGTGTGTACTCCTTTTCGCTCCTCTCTCATATTTTTTCTCCTCGCACCCCCCCCCCCCCCCCCCCCCCGTAAGCATGACTTGCATGTGTGCGTGCCGTGTGCATGCGTGTGCTTTTTGGCAGCATGGAGCATGGAAAACGCTTCGGACTTCATTTATAGATATATTTTTTTTTCTCTCTCCTCCTTTTCCATTTGATTTGTTTTCGTTGTGATCCGCACGGCGGAGAAATAAAAAAAAAAACGCCCTTAAACGGATTCTAAAAAAGACTCCTCACTTCGCCTGCCACTTACTGCCAAAAACAAGTGGCACGCGTGTTACGTGTTACGTGTCACGCGCGTCCCCACCACGCCGTCTCCTCTCTCGGCAATTGCCGGATAATTGTAAAACGACGCACTTATCCCTAACTTAGCTGTTCTTTGTTCAGATAGGATTTCGTACGGGAGATAGGAGACCTCCGCTTGTTAAAATGGCCATGGATTGCACACATTCTGAGATTAACAAAAAATAAATAAACTCTCAAGTAACTTCAACGCGGACAAGGTCTTCGTGTTATGAGATATACGGGAGAATGTAATTGTAAAACCCATAAAGCAAGTGCCCCGGTGCAAAGACGTTTTCGTTTTAATTTGACGATTGCTCACTTATTGGGCGGTGTCGCCCGGCTCGTTGAGAACATATTGAAATACGAAGCCACGTAGAAAATCCTTCATCCTGCGTGGGACCATTCAAAGTGCAGGAATTCAATCTGGAGTTTTCAGTTACGATGCAAAGAACCCTGGCGTTGCGAAAGTCGACGTACCTACGTTTATAATCTCAAGGGTGATTGATATTAGGCTTCCAGTGTCTTCATGAAACGAGCACGCTGGTAATGGGTGCTGAACAAATCTCACGCACAATGTGCCCGCGAGCGTAGGACGACGGCATTCTGATGCTCTGCCGACATTCTGAGAATTGCAGTTGCACTTACAGATTCCCCCAGCACAAACTCCCCGCAAATGTTATATTGTAACTTAGTGCATCTAAATGCGTTTATGCTAACCTGTAAAGCGTTGCGAGCCACCAAATCACCTCCAGGCAGTACTTTGTACGTGGATAATAAGATTCGTAAATTACTGGAATGTGCGTCTGGTAGGCTCGTAGGGAATGAGCCGTGCCGGAGGGTCACGGAGTCTTCTTGCCGCAAGACAGCAATCGAATGCTGTTATGAAACTGGCAACATGGTTATAAACTGGCAACATGGTTATACAAGTTGGCAGCAACACGTGGTTTAAGCGTTATGAGTCCACGTTGAGGCTCGGTTTGTTCTCTTCTGTGGTACCGTGTGCCTAATTTTAATCTGTACGGTCTACGGAGAGCAATTAATCTCCAGTGCCAATCATAGTTCCTGAGAGTCAATATCTCTTGAGATGCAGAAGACATTTAGGCAACTTGCAAAACAGAAAATTCCTGCGAATATTTTGAAATGGGTTTTTATTTTACTCTGGACTATAATACAATCGTATTTTTTGGTTTATTTTTTTAATGCTGGATAATAGCACATTGCTCAAATGATTTGCTTGTGTAACATTCATTTGATTTTGTTCACATGCTGATGACGGGGCTATGTTTTTTTTTGGAAGAAAACTATTTATATTTTTTTGTTTCAGGGACTTACGTCTCATTGGGTATTTTTTTAACCAATCAGTGCATGTTTGAGCGTGTGCGCGTATGCATGTGTGAATGACTGCATGAGCGCGCGTGTGCGAATGTGCGTCACATACCTGCACACGCGGCTCCATTCCGTTTGTGCGAACACCCTCGTAAGAGCCAACGGGTAACGAGATGAGCAACTTCTCTGATCGGAAACAGCAACCCAAACTATTTCTCGTTTATCAATTGCCACCTGCTTGAGCAGGACGTGCACTCGGGGGTGTCGTGAACTGTGGACTGACCACACATTATCGGTGGAATGGATCAGTGTTGGCAAATATGATTGAATCAACCAATGGCCTTGTTAACTGTTTACAGGTCAATTTATCACAGCCTCTCAAGGCATTAAATAGTAGTTTTGCTTACGTTTATATATTCAGGTTATATGCATGCACACTTACAGTGAGGAAATAAAGTATTTGATCCCCTGCTGATTTTGCACGTTTGCCCACTGACAAAGAAATGATCAGTCTATAATTTTAATGGTAGCTTTATTTGAACAGTGAGAGACAGAATAACAACAGAAAAATCCAGATAAACGCATGTCAAAAATGTTATAAATTGATTTGCATTTTAATGAGGGAAATAAGTATTTGACCCCCTCTCAATCAGATTTATGGCTCCCAGGTGTCTTTTATACAGGTAACGAGCTGAGATTAGGAGCACACTCTTAAAGGGAGTGCTCCTAATCTCAGCTTGTTACCTGTATAAAAGACACCTGTCCACAGAAGCAATCAATCAATCAGATTCCAAACTCTCCACCATGGCCAAGACCAAATAGCTCTCCAAGGATGTCAGGGACAAGATTGTAGACCTCCACAAGGCTGGAATGGGCTACAAGACCATTGCCAAGCAGCTTGGTGAGAAGGTGACAACAGTTGGTGCGATTATTCGCAAATGGAAGAAACACAAAAGAACTGTCAATCTCCCTCGGCCTGGGGCTCCATGCAAAATCTGACCTCGTGGAGTTGGAATGATCATGAGAACGGTGAGGAATCAGCCAAGAACTACGCGGGAGGATCTTGTTAATGATCTCAAGGCAGCTGGGACCATAGTCACCAAGAAAACAATTGGTAACACTCTACACCGTGAAGGACTGAAGTCCTGCAGCGCCCGCAAGGTCCCCCTGCTCAAGAAAGCACATATCCATGCCCGTCTGAAGTTTGCCAATGAACATCTGAATGATTCAGAGGACAACTGGGTGAAAGTGTTGTGGTCAGATGAGACCAAAATGGAGCCCTTTGGCATCAACTCAACTCGCCGTGTTTGGAGGAGGAATGCTGCCTATGACCCCAACAACACTATCCCCACCGTCAAACATGGAGGTGGAAAGATTATGCTTTGGGGGTGTTTTTCTGCGAAGGGGACAGGACAACTTCACCACATCAAAGGGACGATGGACGAGGCCATGTACTGTCAGATCTTGGGTGAGAACCTCCTTCCCTCAGCCAGGGCATTGAAAATAGGTCGTGGATGGGTATTCCAGCATGACAATGACCCACAACACACGGCCAAGGCAACAAAGAAGTGGCTCAAAAAGAAGCACATTAAGGTCCTGGAGTGGCCTAGCCAGTCTCCAAACCTTAAACCCATAGAAAATATGTGGAGGGAGCTGAAGGTTCGAGTTGCCAAACGTCAGCCTCGAAACCTTAATGACTTGGAGAAGATCTGCCAAGAGCAGTCGGACAAAATCCCTCCTGAGATGTGTGCAAACCTGGTGGCCAACTACAAGAAACGTCTGACCTCTGTGATTACCAACAAGGGTTTTGCCACCAAGTACTAAGTCATGTTTTGCAGAGGGGTCAAATACTTATTTCCCTCATTAAAATGCAAATCAATTTATAACATTTTTGACATGCGTTTTTTGGATTTTGTTGTTATTCTGTCTCTCACTGTTCAAATTAACCTACCATTAAAATTATAGACTGATCATTTCTTTGTCAGTGGGCAAACGTACAAAATCAGCAGAGGATCAAATACTTTTTTCCCTCACTGTACACCTCTATCGCCACATTGCTCAACTTGAACTACTTTGTCACAAAATCTCAAACTTGTGGCTGGTATCTATTATTACAATAGACTGATAAACTTAGTCTAAGCATGTGGAGAAGGCCATAAATATTTTAGCAGACAACAGTAACCACGCAAAGTGCCTCCACTCCCGTGGACCGCGGAACTCACGGACGGACACGGGTTGCCCGCCACCACCACCCCACTCGCCCCATTTCCATGTTGGCAATCTCGAGTTGGCTCCCAATTCGGGCCTAAATTGCCGTAAGTTTCAAACAACACGCAAAAAAACAACGTGTGATAAGCACTCGGCCTTATCTACAAGAAAACCCATCGGCATTTCCTGAAGAAGTGCATTGTGGTCCTCTTGCCGTAAGTCACCATCTCAATCTTTTTTCTACATTTTACTTTCATGGTGACCTATGACACGAGGACCACAATGCATTTCTTCAGTAAACTCCGATGGTTTTTTGCATAGTGCACAAAGCCTGAGTGCTATTTACAGGTTTATTTATGCTGTTTGAAACTTATGGCTTTCCGATATGCACTATGTTTGTGCTGTGGTGGGTTTTTCACGTCATTTACAGATCTGATTGACACCTAAATTATCCCGGGAGGATTTCCCTTCTCGGGCTGGCCTGAATTACACCTGAGAAACCTGGCCCAGTATAAATATAATTTTCCCTGGGAGAGACCCGCCCTACTCACTTCATTACTTGAGTAACTTAGAAAATCATACAAATGCCATTTATTCTAGCTGTCTATTAAATTTAATTCTGGGAGAAATCTGGCTTAACTCGAGGGCGCTTGGGTCAATTCGAGTTAGCTGCCCACCATGCAGGCTGAGCGTTAGGTTCATTCGACTCGAGGTACAATGTCTGGTTATTGTTTTACCGCACTTGTTGGTGCTATGGTCTCGATTACTTAACCATCCTTTAGTAAACGCAATACGAGCCCCGTAAATATCGTGTCGACGACCCTCCGACCCTTGGCCTGTAAACAGTTAAAATGGGCGGGCGCGAGCGTCCACACCCTCCCCCCTCCCCCCAACGTGATCCTCATAGCACCTTGCGTGACCTTTTCCCGCGTCCCGCCTGAGTGTCATCCCGCGCCGTGCGTCTGCTGCTCTTGGCATAGCAATGGCTCGGCCACATCCGAGGACCTCTTCTGGAAGCTGGACGCCCTCCAGACGTTCATCGGGGACCTGCACTGGCCCGAGGAGGAGTTCGCCAAACACCTGGAGCAGAGGCTCAAACTCATGGCCAGTGACATGATCGAGTCGTCCGTCAAGAGGTGCGTAGCGTCGCTCCAGTCGCTCGCTCGGCGTCGGTCGGTCGCCTCCCTGTCACTCGTATATTTCTACCAAATTGGTTTGTTGTTGTCGTGAACTTCACCCGTTGACTTCTCCACCCAATGTTGAGGACTCGGTCTACCAGACTGAACGAACTAGGGATGTGACGACGTCGTATAATTGCAATACCGTCAGTTACCGCGTAAGACACCTTATCACGACACTACGCGCTTGGATAACAGCCGTTTATTTATCATAATCAAGTTTGTGATTTCGTACGTATTATTTTTTTTAGGAAATAAAACATCTAAGAGCAAAATGAACAACTATAATCGCAATGATAATGACAATATCTTACAACATGTACAATACGACTCGCGTGGTTCATATATATCGTACTACGCATTGCAGTATCGCCGCAAACATCGCTCCCATTACGATCCACGCTCTCGATCGCACCGTGCCCGTGCTTCTCCTTGCTCCTCCTCCTCCGCGAAGGACGCGGGCGGCGTTCGAGGCGAAGCTGCAGAAGATGAGCCGCTCGACGGACTTCCGCGTGACGCAGTCCATCTGCACCATGTTCAACGTGCTGGTGGACGCCAAGAAGCAGTCGGTCAAGCTGTGCCACATGGAGATCGGCCAGGAGGTGAGGCCCCCCGGCCGCCCCCTGTGCCGATCCACCGCCGGACGGCGATGGGTCCTCCGGGCACCGTGCGCGTCGCCGGGGGTTGGGGGGTCAGTTTGGGGGTGTCCACGCTGGTACGCGCGTCGCCCCCTTTTTGAGTGAATTGTTTGCCCACGTTCCGCTTCGTGGCCGATATAGTAATGCCGGTTTTGTAAATGCGCCGCAGTGCACTAACAAAAATGCAGCGCTGCCCAATCACACACACACGTGTACACATACACGTGCACACATACACGTGTGTGTGCGCACGCAAAAAGACAAGTGCTGTTAGCGAACACCGTTTGAGACTCGGCTCGAAAGAAAGCTGTCTGTGGTGTGGATCAATCAGTTTCAAAGACAATGCATATATTATCAGAGTATGTTTTTTTTGTTTGTATTCCGACCAAAAGTATTGTGGTTAATGCAGACATGATTCATTGTAAAAGGTTTCAGTTTGGTGTTTTAACATATTAACACCTGTTTTGTTGCCAGAAAAAAGGGGAAAACCTATTTTCATATTTTGGCACTGGCAAAGGAGGTCCCATATTGGTCATTGGTATTGGCTGTGAGCGGGAATCGAACTAGGGTCACCAGGTTTGTAGCGCAGCTCGCTATCCCCTACACTACCGCTCCCCATATGTGTGCAACAACACTCACCCGCGCATGCATGCGTGCACGTATACATGCAGACACATATACAAATATAGCGATCCACTGTTCAAACCATGGGGGCAAGTGCTGTTAGCAAGGCCCTATTAAAAGCCACGAGGTCAAACTGCCAACGTGCGCACATGCACACCCACATGCATTCATACAAACTCAATTACACATGCGTGAATTGTGCGCACAGATATACACGCGCGCACGCACACGCGCAGACTCGTATATCGCACGCGCATGTCCACGTGGACCCCAAAAATACGTGCGCAAGCAAGGCCATTGAGCGACAACGTCTGCCCGCGTTACGTGCCGCGCGTCCGTATGCATCCACGGCGGTGCTGCGTTATTCTAATGAGCCCTCGCGGTCGCAGCGCGAGCATTCTGCAAGGCTCTCGATACGAAGAGTTATCCGACGCGACATTTCGCTTTGGTTAACGCGGGGCCGCCCATCGGGGGAGACAAATGTACAAAAACAAAGCAAAAAAAAATCTAAATCTCCCCGCGCAAATTGTCGTTACCGTCCGAGCATCTCATTTCTGTGAAAGCGTCGTGCCGGCGATCGCGCGGCGCCGCCAAGAGACTCCTCCGGAGTCGCCGTGCGCCGGGGCCCTCCCGAGCGCTCGCCTCACGCAGAAGATTCGCAAACGACGCGAGCGAGCGCTGGCTGGGATGTGTGCTCCGCGCTTCGTTACACCAATCAGTGCCTAATGGGCACGCGACGCCGCGCGGGCACGCAACGACCCCCCCCCCCCCCCGCTCGTTCGCGCCGCGATGATCGGCGCTGCCTTTGCGTGGTCACGCGCCGCTCCTCGTTAGCGGGGGCGCGGCGGGAGCGGGCCGAGACGGAGAGAGTTTGGGGACCGCGGTGCACGTGTTGTGAACACACAATCCAGCATGAGCCCAGCCCGCTGCCCGGGCTGGGCTCATGCTGGATTTAAGTGGCCCGTTGCTTTTTTGCGCGCGTGTACGTATATTAGTCGGATCTCGCGAGTCACTCCGCCGAGCGTGGATCGCGGGTGGCAAACCGCGATGGCGACTGACCGCGCTCGCCCCATCTGGCATGGACCGACGCCGCTAGAGATGTTTCCTTGTTCATGCTACCAGCTAAGGCCGAGACCGGTTGCACGCCAGCTCTCTCCGCCTGTGACGGGGGAGCACCGTAGCGCGTGCAAACGCGAGTCGAGTGTCAAGTTTGGTTGCCCTTACAGGCTGACCCAATTTAAATTCGGCCAAATTCGTCAAGGGGTTGCCGGGAACTCGCAGACGCAAACTGACGTAAACCGCACTGTTTGCAAATATGCAAATGCATTTTGGCCTGATAGTTACCCATCAGCAGCATCCATGCTGCGGATGAAATGCTTTAAAGATAAGTACGTGACGAGAGTATCCGTGCGCTTGCACGATTGTTTTCCTTGTTACGTCCAAATACATATTGAGGAACTGTCAATGGTAATGGTCCATTAATTTACCACTTTCATCGTTGTGCTCTAAATACTCGAAATATATCGGGCTCATGTTGCGAGCAATTGTGCTTATTCGGTCCTTTCCCCAAAAATGTATCCCGTATAATTCTTTAGCGAGAAGGAAGTGTGGTATGATGTTTTCTGGGCTTGTGTTAGCTCTTATGAATTCTGGGAACAATGACTCCGATCCACGGGCTTCTCATTGCCAGGCAAGTGGTGTCTGCTCATGCGGAAACAGAGCAATTGACTTTTCTTGTGGGAGGGTGCAAAGCATCGGGAGGAATTAACCAGCACCACAATGCGTTACTCAGACCAGATGTTAACCAGCACCACAATGCGTTACTCAGACCAGATGTTAACCAGCACCACAATGCGTTACTCAGACCAGATGTTAACCAGCACCACAATGCGTTACTCAGACCAGATGTTAGCCAGCACCACAATGCGTTACTCAGACCAGATGTTAACCAGCACCACAATGCGTTACTCAGACCAGATGTTAACCAGTACCGCGGTGCGTTACTCAGACCAGATGTTAACCAGCACCACAATGCGTTACTCAGACCAGATGTTAACCAGCACCACAATGCGTTAGTCAGACCAGATGTTAACCAGCACCACAATGCGTTACTCAGACCAGATGTTAACCAGCACCACAATGCGTTACTCAGACCAGATGTTAACCAGCACCGCGGTGGGTTTCTCAGACCAGATGTTAACCAGCACCACAATGCGTTACTCAGACCAGATGTTAACCAGTACCACGGTGCGTTTCTCAGGCCAGATGTTAACCAGCACCACGGTGCGATACTCAGGCCAGATTGTTAACGCTGACAGTGGGGTGTTACCCGTGACACCAGGGTTAACGCCTCAAGTGGTGACCGTGCGCTCTTAAGTGTCGATTCATTACGTGAATTGCCGCTCTCTTTGAGCATCGGTCTAATAACAGGGCCCTTTTCATTTATCCGAAGTAGCTCTTGACCAAGTCGGGGTATTAACGGCCACGAGAAATGCGTTATGAAGGAGGCCCATTGCCCAAAACGTCACCTATTATATATTGTTTTCCTTTTTAATGCCACAGTGTTAGTTGATGAATGTACTTGTGCACCGCTGCCAATGCAGCAGCAGCAGCATCACCAACGGAACAATTAGCCACCAACATAATTAGTGGCCAGGACGAGTGTTAAGGGTTATGAATAATGCCAGATAAAAGCACATGTAATGATGCGCTACGTAAACGTATCTTTAGCTTGTCCATTTGCAAGTGCATTGCCAACTCCTTGTGAGGTACTGTCGAAAATAACAACAATGTGATAATTTTCACAGGAATGTAAAGATGTAATGTTGTATTATAATGAATATTAACAATTTATTAAAAAAAACATTCGTATTGAACTGAATCAAATACGATTATTGATAGCCAGATTGTTCAAATAAACAATGTTAATGCTATCTTATAAGATAGCGATTTAGAAAATTAGCAGGTGGCATAGAGAATGTAAGATGTGTAACAGTTGAGGACTGATCACGTGACTGATCACGGGATTCTGTGACTCGTCACGAGTGAATTTCGTGATTCCATCCAGGAATCGGTTCGCTCTGTGTGTGTCCCGTCTTCTCCGCCTCGTGTGTGACGTTTCATCGGCACGGTTCTGTTCACACCATCGTCCTAAGCGTAACATTAGCGTAACGTTTGTGATTTGCATAAAGTGCAAATTATCGATTGTCACACACGTGTGCATCGTTATTGCCGTTTGACCAAATCACCCGGAATGCCCTCGATATCTTCGGATCTCTCAAGCTTAGCGGGATGGAACCTGGACACTACTCGAACGGGTGACCCCGATGCACCCTAACCAGTCGTCAGAGGTGGCTACGAAGCTACGTTGCGGACAGCGGAGGCCAGTGCAGCAAGGTCCCTTGTTGTATTGTACTTCTATGCTCCCGCGCCAAGGCTTGCAGCCTTCAGCAACCGGGCACTGACCAGCGCGGCGAGGTACGGTCAAATAGCCCTCGCGACTCGCGCGGCGTGGGGAGGTCCTCATCCCAGAGTGGAGTGACTTAAGTGGCTGTGCGTACATGTGCCTACTCTTCACATCCACGAGCAGCAGACCCTTGCTCGGCAAGAAGGAAGACGCGTGACGACGCTCTTCCAAGGTGACGAGATTATTTGACACGAACGCTGCGACAGGTTGAGGTGTGCTGTCGGAGACGTGAACGTGCGGTGGCAAGCGCCCTGCCGCCTCGTTCACTTGGTAGCTTTATTGATCGTCGATAACAAATGGGACGCCACTTCTCAGGTGTTTTTTTTTCGTTTGCCGTGTTGGTCCGTCGCCCGGGTTTCATTTTGCGTTGTCTTTCAGAGATTCCGTTGCCATCGTTCTGCCATCGTTTGTCCGTCGCACCTTCCGTGTTCGTTTTTGTTTCACATTCCGCCTTTTATTTTTTGTCTATGTTATTTTGTGCATTCCATGTTGACCTCCTGAGCAAGTTTGCAAAGGATTGGGTAAGTGTTGAAAACGTTTGATGATGATGATGATGATGAAAACTTAAATTGTACTTGACGTATCGTGCGTGCGTACAAGTGCTTCGTACACACAGTCAACTCTCGATTATCCGGCGTGATGGGTGGAAGGAGTGGTCCGGATTTTTTTTAATTAAAAAAATTAAAATCACAGATTACACGAAACGTGCTTTAGTCTTAACCTGCGTAGAACGCGGGTCAACACGTGCGGTGTGCCGTCAGTGTCGAAATTAATCGGCGCGTGAATGTTTGCTGAGTCACGGACCCACGACGAGTGAGGAACAGCCAACAAACCAGAACCCCGCCGACGAGCACGCTGAAGCTGCGATCTGGATAGCTCGCCCACGGATAACTGAGAGTTATCTATATGAAAGTATACAGGTACAAATTGCGCTCGTACTTTATATTCCTGCAGATGTGTCAACGACAAAAAAGCAAGCTTAGTACAGAATGACCACGAGAAAATGTACCAAAATATTACAGAAAAAACGAATGTAAAGGCCGAAATTGGCTCCTTGATTTTGAGATGTTGTGAGAGATGCGTTAAATTATTAAACACATTTCTTGAATCCCCTTGTGTATGACAAATTGTTCACAGTTTAAGGGGGGGGAAAAAAAACAGCATTTAAACTTTGATCACACTGAGAGGGACGACTATCGCAATCGTCCGATGATGAACAATTACAAAAGGTCAAACACAAATGTAAGTGCACCCTGAAGAGGGACATTTGTTGAACATCATTTTCATGGACAACAGGCTCTCACACTCGCAAACGGAGCGACGCCGTACATTTGTGAACTGTGCACTCTGCAAGACACGGGGCTGCACTCTCGTGCTGCTCGGCCACGGCTCCTTCAGGAACTGATTGCGGCTCGCCACCAGCATCTCCTGGCTCCGGCTGTGCCACAAAACAACGGAGGTGGCGCGTGTGAATCACGACGGTCGCCCTGAGCCCGGGCCGCTTGGCCGAGACTCCCTTTTGTCATTGCCCGCCTGTGTTACAGAACCAGTACCACACGAAGATTGACGAGCTCATCGAAGACACCGTCAAGGAGATGATCGCGATGATGATCGGCAAGGTAGGAACGTTGGGTAAATGCGTAGATGCGTCATAATTCTCGCGGCCTGCGATTCGATGAGCTTTCCACATTCGGTCCCGACTATTGATTTAAAAAAAAAAAATGTCTTACTCTGCTCTTAATAATTCCATGAGGCAAATTGGAACACTTCCATATGCAGTAAAAATATACAAATTGTAAATAATGGGTTCCTGCGCATGCAATTTGCATGCATATTTTGTAAGTGTAAAATCGATTTTGTTCTCTGAATTGTTGAAGCCTAGTGTATGACATAGTTTACCCTTGTCTAACGCCAGCGCCAACACTTCATTGAATTCAAGTTGTCTATTATCATATATTATATTATTGTGCATGTGTTTGCATGCAATATGCAGCATTACTCCGCAGGCAGCCACACACACACACATTGTAAAGACATTATGTATGCTACCAGGCCCTCCGAACAAGGCTTAAGGCAGTCGACAGCATGGGAGACCCAAGTGGGTTTCGCCCTCATAAGGACTCATCGGTGTGCTAACCCAGCTTCAGACTGCCATGAATGTTCAGTGACCATTGGCCAGTGGAAGGCCCTGGCAGTATTTAGACTCTCCATGCACACATCCCTTCTGTTTAGTGGCAATATTGTAACATTGCCATACGCAGTATAATTAACATCCTCGTGTGTCACATTTCCATATTAATATATATTACATAATTATTTCAAATTCTTTACCCAGAAAATCTGTGATGAAACTTCGAAACTGGTTGGAAAACAGTTGCGTGCGATATTTTGGCAATTTTTTTAATGAAGAACTCAGATCTTTTTTTATACTGACACAGACAAATTCACCGTTGTTCCTGTAGACAAACAATTGTATGGATAAGTGTGGATTAATTGCATAATACAGTGGCCCACCGTCGCGATTTACAAATATTAATGGACAATAATATATTACAGTTGCGTTTGTTAAACATTTACAAATGTCCCTGGCTTAAAAAAACCCCCATTAATACGGCCTGTCGATAAAATAACGTGCAAACTTAATGAGCACGTCTTATGATTGCAGTCGAGACTCACATGCTGGATGCGAGGAAATGAGCGACCGCAAATATGTTGGGACACCGCAGTCACGCTTAAGAGGGGCGTATAGATTTTTTTCAGGTGAAAATTTAAATATTTTCACACTCGTCCATTGACCCAATCAGGTCATTTGAGAGTCACTTTATTAAAAAAAATAGCAAATTCGGACCGTGACAACGGCACACGTGGCCTGCTCTTATTCCTTAGAACGTCACGGGAACTGTACCGTCTGCTGTAAAGTAGACAGGCCGTATTTTATGGTTAATACACCAGCAGTGTTAACTAGGGTGGCCACCGGGCTGGAACCAGCAGCTCTACAATGTTAATAGAGCGACCGCTCGGTCACGTCACCACTGTGAGTTCCGCACGTCGTTGGGTGCCTGCATACGTACCTGTGCACGTGCGTGCGTACGTGTGTGCGTGAGAGGTGCTCGCTAACAGCACTTGCCCCAAACAGTCTGATGAGGCTAAACGGGGGACCTTTGTGAGATGCCAGTCTTCTCAGTCATGGCTGCTGGGCCTCCTGCCAGCAAGCCTTCGACACTGCAAAGTGCACCTAGCCTGGCACAAGCGCCATGCTGACGCCACTGCCACTTAGTGGCGAATGTCGGTTTTTGTTGTGCGCACTTTGTAAAGCATCGGTTCCGGCCACACCACCCCGTCGTGCGCCGTTCCGGTCTACTTCAGGGCTCACTGACGGCACTTGCCCCGACGTTCGGAGAAGGCTACACGAGGCTGCCGCGGTGGCGAGATGTTAACTCCCACGCCTGGTACACAGGAGGTCGTGGTTTCGATCCTAACCCTGCCGCCTGTATATTTGGAGTTTGCGTGTCTTTTTCTCTGTGGATTTTTCTCCGGGTCCTCCGGTTTTTGCCTCCACGTTTAGAAACGTGCGTTTAGAATATTTGGCCACTGCTGTAACTTTCCACGTGATAAGCCACTTCATTGAGCTATCATTTGCGATGGCCAGGTCGTTTCTGAAAAAAGAGCTACATAGCTCGGTGGGGCTTACCTGGTAAAATATAAAAATAAAAAATGTGTCTATAGCACGTTACGTCTGTTGCGCGCGCGCAGTTTGTGACGGTGCTGGAGGGCGTTCTCTCCAAGCTCGGCCGCTACGACGAGGGGACGCTCTTCTCGTCGTTCCTCTCCTTCACAGTAAGGCCGCCCCCCTCGCCGCTCGCGACACGAACGCCGACCCCTCGCGTGGCGCGCCGCGGTCCCTCCGCTCGGTGTCTCTATTTTGGTGGGGCGGGGGGGTGAGGCAGAAGGAGCTGCGGTTTTAGGCCGTGATAACTCAGTCTCCCTCCTGGGTTTCGTGCCAAACCGGATCCGGCTCAAGCACCCAAGTGCGCAGTGCGGTGCTGCGAGGAGTGGCCACGGTATAATTACTCACAATATGATATCGGATATTGCGATGTTTACGTCATCGCTATATCGGTTTCCCATAACTTTGTAAACGTCTTTCGCATTTTTCGGATTCTTGTTTTTGTGCTTTGCTCAGCTACAAATGAAGATTGCTGAGAGGTTGCTCAGCTGCACTCAACGCAAGCCTGCCATGAGCCTTTCTAGTGATTGTGGTCCATAGCGCTTATGATGCACACGCTGTCGGTTATGCACCAAGCAAGTCAAATCATTCTACAAACTGCGAAAAGGGCTGGCTGCGTTTCATCGCCATTCAGTCTATTCCTTCGAAAAACATTTTGCAGGGAGCTACTTTAACGAATTACAGCTAGCGATCGGTGAATATGCCATTTCCTACACACCATACTGTATTTTGTCCGGAAATAGAATATTTCAGAAGAATCTGAATATTTATAGTGGAGGAATCCAATGAGCTACAAAGCTCTTTTTCACAGATGTCAAGCAGGGGTGGGTAAGAAGGTTATACCAAACAATAGAAAACACATTTTTATTTAAAGCTTTCGTGACTGCAGTAATTAATATTCTTAGGAGTGGAAAGTATAAGAAAGGTAATCAAATCACTTTAAAACAAAATGGGATATTTTTCGAAAAAGTAAATTGAGCAATGACGATCGCTTTACGGCGATGTTTTGCGCAACGGAAAAAAAACGATAACCGTGGCTCTTTACACCGCACGACGAGCGCCGTGGCACTGCCGAAGGTCGGCGCAACGCGGCGCTGCCCCGGTGCTGCCCCGGCGCTGCCCCGGCGCTGCCCCGGTGCTGCCCCGGTGCTGCCCCGGTGCCCGTGCGGCACCGCGGTGCCCACGAGGAGCACCTTGGCAGTGTCGGCCGTGCGGTGCCGTGCCCCGCGCCGCGCCGCGCCGATTAACAACAAACTGTTCTCTCCTTCCCTGCCCGCACTCCGTCCGTGAAGATGAAGGCTGCCTCCAAATATGTGGATGTTCCAGTAAGTAAGGCCGACGTGTCTGAACGTAAATAGCTAAAAATCGTCATTGTGTTAAAATGCACTCATACACGCACCTCGATGTGATAACGATGATGATAATAATGATGATGACTCGCACACGCCACACACTTGTGCTGAACATAACATTTCATGAATATAAAGCAACCCTATCATTAATATTCAATGTGCTTTGCTTAACGAGATAAGAGCCTATATATATATCATTTCAGGGGCTTAAAAGTAATTATTTTGTAATTTAACTCTGGATCATTCTCAAAATGTTAGTTTTGGTTTGTGCCTGGAAACCGTTTAATTGTGGCCAGGTATTTACGTGAATGCGTGTGGCATTCTAGCACGGAGCAAACTGTACTGTGCTCACCGTATTCTAGCGCTGCCACTGCTGCCGCTACCTGTGCTGAGCACCAACTCCCACCACAACCACCAACCACAACATACTGCCACCACCACCACCACCTCCGCCACCATCGCCACCACCATCGCCACCACCGTCACCTCCGCCACCGCCGCCGCTGACCGGCGTGCGACTGCTGCCCACAGAAGCCGGGCATGGACCTCTCCGACTCGTACATCACGTTCGTGCGCCAGAACCAGGACATTCTGCGCGACAAGGTCAATGAGGAGATGTACATAGAAAGGTTGTTTGATGTAAGTAGCAAACCCCCACCGCCCCACTACCCCCACCACCCCCGCATCGCCACCAACTCGGAAACCCCACGCGGCGCGGTGAGACAAAGGCGTGGGCCGTGCCCAGGGATGAGTCACGTTTCGAGAGCTGCGCCTCGACTTAGCGCCACCGCTAGCGACCTCCTTCCCGCGCTTCCAATTCACAACCTCTTGGCTTACCGCGTCTCTCTCATGCGCGCCTCCGCCTCGAGCCCCAGGTCTCACGTCGCTCGCTCCCACCTCTACCTCTCTTCGCTCTTTCTCTTGTTAAGTTGCATCGCTAAGACGGCTGTTTTATTTGTTTATCGTGGACGAAGGGGGGGGGGGGGGGTGTGGGAGGGAGTTGTTTATTGAATAATTCGCGGCTAATCTTGGCGTAATAATGTCACTATTGTGTTTTAAGTTATAAAGCTGAGATTACCGCTCATATGGGTTATTTAATGTAATACTGATCCTTGGAGTAACAGCGTATTATTGAGTGTCGTAAGCCACATTCGGGTGATTATAGTCTATACAGAGGGGCTTGTTCCATGTCAGGATTGCAGCGCATTCGTCAATTGTCTCTCTCTAAAGTTGTGTGAGGTGGAATTTTTGTAAATGCTACAATTTGTCTTATTATTATTATTATTTTGTTTGTAGGGTCCCTGGTGACCAGGCCGAGGCTAAACTTAGCCCCCAGTCTTTTACGTTTTAATGGGGAATAATGAGTTCTGAAAATGCTTTAGACACTCATTTTTTTACACCCCCAGTCAAGTGCAGTATACTGAAGATGCCATTTACCATCGTTATCGTCTGGCTTATTTTTCTCATCATAGCATAACTATCACTGCTGAAGATGAGCAGCACCATTCAATCATGTGATCACCTTTCTGCGTATTAATAATCATTTGCAGCCATTTATCAATATACTAGGCCTCACCATTGGGGTTACCACCCGTCTGGAATTGACTTCTGTCAGGGAATTGGCTTCTGTGTCCGGGTGGCAAGAATTCCTTTCTACTGAGATCTGGTTCCAATATTGTGTTGAAATGTATCGCAGTAAACGGGCACAGTTTTGATAGACTTAAGACTGACCGAGAAATATATGTGGGTTTGGTCTGTGGAATAGGTTGCGACCCTACACGCCACTCTGTGTTGGTCACAGAGTGGCGTGTAGTGTTTGACCATGCTGGTCAGTGCATGTCGGTGATCAGAGAGTCTCAAGAGAAACTGCAGATATCGCTCGCCACTGTCGTTAGCACTGGCCGGTAATCAAACTTGGGTTGCAGGGTTTAATGCTAACCATTGTCCCACCACTCCTCCCTGTGTGTATGAATAAAATACCATAGGTTCGATTATGTATTTTGAGATATCCCAACGTTTGTCCAGAGTGAAATACAAATTAGGATGTGTCTTTATAAATTGGTCATCGTATGTAATTTATAAAGTAGCCAGTTTGATTCGTGACAAATACAATTTTAACATATAACGGGTTACTCTTTGGAATAATAGGACAGGGTTTTTACTACTTCTCGTTCCTAAAATGTGACAGTTTACTCATTTACTTGAGCAATTCATCATGAATTAAAACAACATGCTTTTAAAGCATAGTCTGAAACTAAATGATATTCATAGATAATTTTCATACTTTGGGTCATTCTCAGTTTCCTTCATTGCTAACACTTCTATTCTAATTCACATCTTGAAACCATAACCCCATGGCTTGTCTCTAGAACGTTGGGGCGCCACAGTGGCAAGATGTTAACTACCTCGCCTGGTATACGGTAGGCCGTCGGTTCAATCCCGAGCCGGATGCCTGCTGTACATTTGGAGTTTGCATCTTCTCCCCGTGGTCGTGAGGATTTTTCTCCAGGTCCTCCGGTTTTTCCCTCCACATTTATAATCAACATTAGTTTACAGCATTTGGCTGCTATAAATTTCCATATGATAAGCCACTTCGTTGAGCTGTCACGTGTGGCCAGGTCGCTTCTTAACAAGCGCTGCATAGCTCAGTGGGCCTTGCCTGGTAAAAGAAAAATAGTTTCAATTTTATTGTTTTATATATATTTTATTATTTTGTTGTTTCTCTTCAACGTGACTTTACCGAAAAAACTAAGAATATAAAAATAGTTTCGTTTAGACTGGACGGCGAATGTTCTTCATGTCTACGTCTGTAGCCCCTCTGCTCTGTCGACTTCAGCTCCACCATCTCACAGCTTCAGTCCTCCTGCACGCCTCCTGCTGCCCCGCAATGTGACTTTGCCCTGTGCCCGCGCGCGTTGCGTTTTGTCTCGCGAGCGAGCGCGATCCTCGATGTCGAACAGCCTCTCTATGTACGTCCGCCATCGAGACCCCGCCGTCGTCCGCCGTGCAAGTCCGCCGCCACGGACGGTGACCTCGCTTGCATCTGGAGCCGCGGTGACCCTTCCGCATCCCACACGGGTCGTTCACTTTTTGGTTCCCCCGCGAGTTTGCCCGCGACCCGGCGAGAGCGCCGTCCGCGGAGATGGCGCCACGCGCGACTCGGCCGAGGGTAGCTCGACGCAGCGAGCCGCCAGCCGCAGGCGGCTCTGCGCGGCCACGTCCACGGCGTTCCAAACTGAGGCCACCGCCTCGGCCCTCTCGCTGTCACCCTGCTGATCGCCGGCGAGAGACGATGGACGGTGCAAAGAAACTCCCCACCCTCCGCACTCGGCTGTGCGTGGTTCACCCCACAGCGTCCGCTTCACTTGCTTAGATTATCATCGCCGCTTTCAAATTAGGGTATCGATCGATTCGCGTCGAAATTTGGCCTTAAAATTACCATACGGCAATGTCACGTGACCTGAACCTACGTGAATTTATGCAAACAATCGAACCTGCTGGAGAATCATAATAAAATCAGTGGGAATTTCGAAAGCGCCGTAACATGGCATCGCCCCCGTACCTACATTGTTCCCCAAATTGTACAAAGGAAGGCGTCCATTAGAGAGTGGAACAATGTGTTGGATGCAGCTCATTCCCCTGACCTGGGTTGTCTAATTCACTGCACGTTTGCACTCTGTAAGTAAACATTGGCTGTATGGATTGAACGTGTACATATTTACGGGATTGATTGTACCGGAGTATTTTTTCGGGGAAGAAACTTATCCGCGCAAGGCGCATCAGCCGGCTGATTTAAAACGCGCGTCACTGCTGCCGTCGGGCCTGTGGCCCTGGCCGCTCCGGTCGTTGTGGAGGACCTGGCCTGGGGTCGGCCATCGCCGTCTCGTGATTGTTCTGACGATGGGCTGTGCTGGTGGGCGCACGCGATGACGCCACAGTGCGTGGCGTTAGACATTGTGGAGCACGGGGCACGCGGCCTGACAGAACGACCCAAAAAATTAATAGGCGCGTTTCATGACCAGTAAAATAACGCTCGTAAAATAAACGTTCGTTTTTTTGTATTAAAGTTGTTCCGTCGAAAACCAAACCGGCTAACTTGCTCGGTGTGGGGGTTGGTGGATCGCGCTATAGGATCTTGACGCTCGTGAGACTCGCAGCCTCGGTGGCTGTGGGGCGGCAGTACACAAAGTAGGTTACCGATCTATCCGTCCGGATTTTAGAGTTATTCACTCCGTATGCACGACGATTCTCCCGCTTCGTCAGTTTCTTAGCACGTGCAAAATTCCCCTCGAAATAAATTTGACTAGCATCACAAAGTAGAACCTTTATCAAAATAACGGGCCTCGTAAGGATGCGTGCGCGCGTGTGTGTATATAAATATATATTCTAGACACATAGATTATTTCCTGTCCATAATGAAGCAAATTAATTTCACAGTTTCCTTCCAACCTCTACACTTTGCTAAAGCTTTACACATTAACAGCTCGTCGAGCTAATTGCAAGTCTGCGGCCACTCATTAGGGCTTGAAGCCCCCCAATCTTCCTAATGAAGTGCCTTAAGCACGCTTCTGCATCGTTTCATCGCCGTACGAAAGCCGTGAGCTGGAGAAGACGTTTTTGTTGAAAGCTGTATTCTGGCTTCCCACCAGGGAGCTAAAGGGATCTCTAAACAAACTGCGTTTCCTATCCGCGCGTGAGACGACGATCCTTTACTGCGATGTCGCCGTGCCGCCGGTTGCCCGCGTCAGTCCTCGAGGCTACCAATAGACATGTGTTGCTGCGTCGCGCCTCTCTGTGTGTGTGTGTCTGACACACAAAGATCCCCCGTATAGCCTTAACAGACTGTAGGGGCAAGTGCTGTTAGCGAGCACCTATGAAGGCCGGAACGGTACACGAGGGGGTGGGTGGCCAGCACCACGCCCGACCGCCTTTGTCTCCCTAGTGGCAATGTTTACACACCACACCAGGTACTCATTTGAGGCTGAGTCGACCTAGGAGAGGCCCGGGACCGGTTCAATTAATCGTCACTGGTGTTGGCCGTGAGCGGGAATCGAACCTGGGTCGCCAGGTTCATAGCGCAGCGTGCTAACCGCTACTCTACCGCTCCCCACTGTCTTTGTCTGTGTGTGTGTCTGTCTGTGTGTGTCTGTCTGTGTGTGTCTGTCTGTGTGTGTCTGTCTGTATGTGTGTGTCTGTGTGTCTGTCTGTGTCTGTCTGTGTGTGTGTCTGTGTGTCTGTCTGTGTGTGTCTGTCTGTATGTGTGTGTCTGTGTGTGTGTCTGTCTGTGTGTGTCTGTCTGTGTGTGTCTGTCTGTGTGTGTCTGTCTGTGTGTCTGTCTGTGTGTGTCTGTCTGTGTGTCTGTCTGTGTCTGTCTGTGTGTGTGTCTGTGTGTCTGTCTGTGTGTGTCTGTCTGTATGTGTGTGTCTGTGTGTGTCTGTCTGTGTGTTTGTGTGTGTGTGTCTGTCTGACTGTGTGTGTGTGTCTGTGTGTGTGTGTCTGTGTGTGTCTGTGTGTTTGTGTGTGTGTGTCTGTCTGTGTGTGTGTCTGTGTGTGTGTGTCTGTGTGTTTGTGTGTGTCTGTCTGTCTGTGTCTGTGTGTGTCTGTCTGTGTGTGTCTGTGTGTCTGTCTGTGTGTGTCTG